AAATAGGCATACACTAGGTAAGGTTTCATGTTCTAATTTTACACAAACAACAAAATTGTTTAATGAATTCAAAAACCTATTTTAAATCAACCTCCTTTAAACTTCAAATTCGTATTTCACGGGCTCGCAACGTGTAAATCTAACTAAACTCCACAAAATACTTGCTAATTAATCAACATCTCGAGGAGCCGTGTGAGTTCCAAATCTCGGCATTTTTCCAAAGTAAACAAGATATCGATGAATTGTATCGATCGATGCTAGCCGATAAAACACCCTGTTCTATTTACATGACGCGCACTCTGCTAACGATCATTCATTCCACGTAGCACGTTTTCTTTTTTACGATGAAACGATGAAAAAGTATGCGCGAGAAATTGCAGTTTTAAAATTCATGATGTGACCACGTTTTTGACAAAACAATGGATACCTATAACAAAACACATAATTATTATAAGTTGGCATCAATGGTTAGAGTAATCGTTCGGATTGCGGAAGGTTGTGGGTTCGAGTCCAACCTCGGGATACCTACCTGGGTATGGGGAATTATTTAAGCATTTTTATTAAATATATGTATGTAGGTATTACAATTACCATAGAACCTTGCAGAACTCAATCAAAAAGTCAATCGATTTGAAAAGAAAAAGAAAGATTGAAGTTGGAAAGTGGCTCAGGATCACTTTAATACCATATGCCTACTATTCGTTTTTACCTTTTTGGTCACCTTATTACATTTACAAGATAATGGCGTAGAGTATGGCATTTAGGCAAAGTTGATATGCGATTGAATAAGAAAACTCACTTCTTTTACAACAATTATAAAAAAAAAATATAGATCTCTATTCTAAAGACTACCTACAAACGCACTAACGAAGTAACATTATATATGTGCTCATCCATTTTGTACGTCAGTGCAACAGGATCTATTATCGCCCAAACAACGTAAACAAAGCGTCTCGGCGACGGACGGCGAGTTAAAAAGGCATGCCATATCAAACGTTTTGGTCGCGCCGCCTCTATGGGCTAATAATAAATTAAGACAATGTTTTAGTCACATTACACGTTTATTACTTTTACGACTTTCGTTAACATGTCAGGTTAGGTTACAATAAAATAAAGCAAGTTATATGTCTCTGAACAACAGATAACAGTTAGAAAACATGCTGTTAAATAATTGAAATTTCAGTACGGGTTTGTGTTCTAGTTGAACTGCAGTTTTGAAACAATCATGTACGAAATTAATGATATAAAAAAACTTATTTTATATAAAATATAATTATTTAAAACGGTTTTAGAGCCTTTATATGTGATTTCATGACATTTCGGATCCGTTACATGTCCATAACGTCATGAAATAAAATTTAAACACGCTAGAACCATTTAAAATAGTTTTATTTAATGAGTAGTGCGCGTGAAAATATAAGAAATCAGTATTATTGTATATTTTTTGGATCAAGCTGTAATAACCATGATTACTTATCTTACTACTGATGACTGACTTCATTACTATTTCATTGTACCCATGGAGATGACCCGTGCCCCAGTAATGGGTACATTTAATAAGCTTAGGTTTAAGGGGTCCGTTCCACCCTTTTTCAATTGCAGCCACAGTACGTTCAGTGCTTATAAAATGTTTTCGTCTATATTTAATTTTTATAATTGGAAAAAAATAAGTCACACGAGGTTGAATGATTTCCATAGAAAAATAGTCAAACATTCCGTTAAAGAGTATGATACTTGACTCATAATTCTGTTGAAGTGGATATGTATATGAAGTGTATACTCTTCCTTCTGCTACTATCGTTAGCAGCGCACTGCACAGCACTACGTAAACTTCAATAGTTAAGTACTCAGCATAATTAGGACATCCTTGTCACGAAACAACATCAGCTAGTTTATTTCGACCACTTTGAGACTAATGAAACCAGGTATAAAAACCAGCACGGCATGGGGCTTCAGCATGAAATGCCAATCAAATCAAGTTCACAAACGTAGTGTTTAAATTCTCTATGGAAGTCAACATAAAAATAATCGAATTTAACTTCTTACTTTTTTAGAATCCAAAATGTAAATAAGTTTTTCACTGCCACAAAGGTTTTTAGTCACCCCGTATCCACCTTCTTTATGCTTGATTTTTGAAAGGGATGAATGTTTATAAGGATCTTTTCCTGTCCTGAAAGGTGACTCTTTCTGAAGTTACTTTTTCAGGTTGATCGCATCTATGAAATGTTTTGTATTTAAATATTTCTGTTCTAATACTTATTAGTTCTTTACTTTAATACTTATAAAGAAAACGTATATAAATATTTCAGAACATTTATCTGAAATATTTATATACGTTTTCTTTACATACAAAATAGATGTGATAATAAGGCCCTCATCCTTTGTACTGAAAATATTATTAGAATTCCGTCGGATGTTTTGTCTCAACAACTAGAATATACTTAATACGACGAGCGATGACGAACTTGTACCTACTTCCAATCTAGTAATAAGTATTATACTTATGAATGACATAGGTTAGTCGGGCTTCAAGTACCTCTAGTACGAAAGTTCACACACTTATCATTGTATATAATTATTATAAACATACACCTCGGCGTTTTTCTGTGTGTCTCAATACTGCAGAACCATGATTTTTAATTTTTCTTTGATCAACATCATACTCAAAAATTATGGAACGAATTTTTAAGTGACTTTCACCAGTGAATAACTAATTATCTACATAATTTGTTTAGCGCGAATCGGTTGCATATGACATGATTATTGTGCCTACTTGCATATGTTTGAAAATACATTTTGAAGAAAAATATATCTACCGGCTTACTTACCCAAGTAACTTGTTCGAAATCCGAGTCACAAAATTTTTGTCCGGTCGGCTCCCCTGGTTCTACTTCTCAAGAGAGTAAATAAGTGAAGTGCAATAATAATAATAAATAAGTTAAGACGAACAATTGTTTTTCTAATCCCCAATCGCAAAATAAAAGAGAACTAGAATATTTTTTTATTAGCAGCCCTGTGGAATTTAGAAATATACATTTTTTTGGATTTTAACAGCTAAGCATCCAACAGTGAACCTGCCTGAGTTGGGTTATTCTATGCCTTCGATTTACACCTAGTGATAAATTAAAATACTCCCATTGTAAACCATCAGCTTTGCACATGCTACAGATCGCCGATAGATGAAAAAAATACACACCATTTATGGCCTCAACCCTTACAAAACGTTAAGGTAACTGTTTAACCCTGTCTCAACGGATGTAAACAAATGTTTAAATTACGCCTGGCAGGAGCCACATGTGCGCCGCTCCGGCGAGGTTAAAAACTTACAATCTGATGAAAAAAATATACCAGTTTTAAAAAACGTCTGGAAAACATACCGCAATAACAAAACTAACGCTGCCAATCCACATGATTACTAATCATTACGATTAATTCAAGGTACATTTTAAGCTGTTACTTATTATAATAATGATAGTCTTTGTCGGTACTTTTTCAAAAATCTCGGTAACACTACAAAATTAAAATACTCGTATGTCTATCATATTATAACTTCTGATTCGCTAATCACTTTTGGTCAGGTGGTGTTAAGAGGTACAACTAGACGTCGCATTCATCACCGTTAGCCTATTAATGTCCCCCTACTGATGTGGCTTTGGATTTCCTTATGGGTGGAATCAAATAGGGCGAATTGGTCATAACCGCTATTGATTGGTGGTTATTATATATATGTACGCCTCTAAATGCAGCTGTGACCAAACGGCTTAACGTACCTTCCGATGCACGGAGGAGCTGGAGACTATAGAGATTTATAATAAATCTATGGAGATTATAAACTTATGGTCACCTATCCAAACACTGCGCCATTGAGTTTCATATTTTATTATTCAGAATTATTCATTTAAAACAGACAATGATTACAAAAAATACGTTTCCAAACCAAATGCTGTTTTTACTTAGGGGTCTGACCGACATACATTCATAAATTGATTATTAAAATTCAAAAAAGACAGATTAATAACAAAATACTATTATATAAATAGGTACGTGGAATCTTTTAGACACATAATTATTTTCTTCGTTAATGTGCTCCAGTAACCGTTATTGTATTATGGCAAAACCTACTTTTAATTCTTTATATTAAATATTTTTACAAAGATTGCCTAGTTTATTAATGGACAACTATACATAATGTGAAAAAGGCACCATTCATATTATACTGATTTTATATCATTGCGTATTTGTCTGTTAAAGGTCAAAATAATATCAGAGCTGCGTTGACCGGGATGTAGCCGTCATGCGAGCCCTTTGTTTTAACTGGCTACGTACGCGGCTCTAACAAAATATACAACCGATCGAAATGTAACCACATGCGGCCACACGCTGCGGTATCGGCCAACGCATATAACACCACAACTGACACAAAATTCTTAATACAAAGTATTTAAAGTCTTTATTCCCTTAAAGTTGGCTTAATATGCAGTCTGTACAGGCTGTTTTCACACTACAATGTTAAACACCTTGTCTAAATACTGTTTATTCTAATTCCGTTGCTGTACAGGCTCGGGGCTGGTTTTAGCAAGCTTTGTAATCAGTTTAATAGGAAAATATAAAGGACAGGTTCCTGATTGACCCAATTGTCATCGCTAATGTTATTTTTTTCTTGTTAATACCGAGATCCCGTTATGAAGGCAATCGAAAGATAAGACAATTATTGAGTAAATGCATAATGAATTGTTGAATCCACGTCTAGGTAATTAATATACGTCATGTTTATAAAGCTAAAAAGCCTGGAATGCTGAACAATCAAGAGATCTGCTTTAATAAAGCTATCTGAAATAATAGGATCTATCATACAAATCTTTTTCGATCTAAAGTCGTAAGAGTGATGTTTAAACGATCTTTTTACTAGTTGGGTACTTATCTACTGCCGCCTGATATAAAAGTATATGAACAGTTAAGGCTGAATATTGGTAAAGTAAAACGACAATTGTTTTTTTTTAATTAAATTGAACATTTTAATCTTACAAATCTATGATCAAACGTTAGCAAGACAGCGTGAACGTATTACAATACCATAATAATTATAAAAAATATTCTAAATAGAAAGCATGTGTTCAGGAAGCATAACTTGCGGTTGATAAGAAAACGGATCCTGGATATGATTGATGGGCATAGGTTCCGCTAACTCCGCGGCGTAGTACAACGTCTCTCCATCCTGGACCGGTTGAAGGTTAGACAAATTTAGAAATTCCATTTGATTCTGATGTGGCATCGCTTGGGCATATTTCTCTATATCGAGAGAACTAGCACCGACGACGTGGGAGCGCGTGTGAAAGTTCAGATGGCTGCTCTGCTTAAACCTTCGGCCGCAGACAGAACATTCGAACGGTTGTATGTTCGTGTGCGTTCGCATATGCTGCCTCAAGTGAACCGATTGAGAGAAGCATTTGCTGCATATGACGCATTTGAAAGGTTTAATTTTAGTATGAGTACGGAGATGTTGGTCTAAGCCGGCCTTCTGAGTGAAAGCTTTAGGACAATAAGTGCAAACGAAAGGTCTTATTCCCGTGTGCATGCGCATATGCTGTTGCAGTCCGCCTTGTTGCGTAAACCGCTTTGCGCAAATAGTGCACTGGTGGGGTTTAGACTTTGCGTGAACGATGCGATTGTGCTCATCGAACTGGGCACTATCCAGAAAAGTTTGACCACAAATCCGACACGAAAATGTGTAATGACTCACTGGTTGGAATTGAGCCGCTATAGTGTTGCTCTGTATATTATCGTTATCGTTATCCAAGCGTTTCTCACAAACTTGACATCGCAGGGCGGCATTTCGTCTCTTAGTGTGTTCTTCGCGATAATGCGTAGAATAATCGCAACAATTGAAAAATATTTGACGGCATTGTAGGTCAGGACGAAGGATTGAACGAAATGTGCAAGTAAATGGACCTCTGCAAGAAAAAGTAACGCATCAAAATCCATTCTATTAGACGGAGAGCTCGTGACTAAAATGTACAAGAACTTTTACTAAATTGAATATGTTTGTTTCGTCAAATGAAAGGCTTAGTATTTTGTATGAAGTAACTGCTAATTAGTAATCATTTCGTTAAATATAGTTAGTAGTAATAGTTAGACTACTTTTTTTTTTATAATACGGTTCTCGCTATATTTGAGCTATTAAAATTTTTATTACGCGTACATTTATCTGGTACCAGGTGTTCCAGCTTCCCTTAGTACTTCAACATACTGAAATATCAAGCTGTAGAAAGCTCTTGTACATTTTTGTCACGACGTCTTAGCTCATATAATCTACTCCTGGAGCAGACGAAAAACAGAATGACACAGTTATTATTGTTAGTATCCATGAAGCTATCATATATTCATTCCCTCTTCATAGTAATGGGTTTTATATTGCATATTATTGTAAGGGGACAATACTGAACTCTATACCCATTATCTTTATTTTATAGTTATCATATATTTAACCTTTTACACCTTTTGTACTGTGAATTTGCCGATAATATTATACCTCAAATCCACGGGAGGCTTAATAGGTCTGATGTTATTTTTCTTATTGCCATTATGATGAGCCTTCTTGAGGGCTTCCATTTCCATGTCGATGCCTTCCACCTTCACTATCAAATACGTGGTGTCCTCGGTGAAGATACGAGACGTCACACCGGTATGTGTGCCAATATTCTTCGATTCATTATCCGGTAGTGGAATAAACTTAAAACCACATAGATCTTTGAAATTCTGCAACACAGCAATAATATTATTAAAGTTGGTAAACTGAAATTCAGAAGTAATTAAGTATGCTTACGATACAATTTATACTTACTGCTACAAGATGATTTTAAAATAAAGCCTCGTTTACGGCGTTTGAAAAGCTAATTAATCCAAGCTACACACAACTTACCTTTAGTGACTAAGTTTATTTATTTATTCTTTATTGCTTATAATAAACACAAACCAAAGGCATTATCTACCAGTTAACCTCGAAGGGTGTAGGAGATTAAAGTTTACACTATCAGTTAGCATTAACATAGTTTACATATTTTGCATAGTAGATTAATATTCAATACCTTTAAAATGTTGCTTGCATTAATTACCTTTTCAAGCTTGATAATTCAACAAAAGCACGAACCCATGCTATAGCTGTGTGGGCTTTAGTAATTAACCATTGACTTAATGATAAACTAAGATTAAATATCAAAACGATAAGTAACACACTTATTATATCTTCATATGATTAAGGTTATAACTTAAAAATAAAAATCACTTTTTTAATATACATAATATTAAAAATGTAAAAAAAAAATAAAGAGACATAACACAAAATTTCCCTCTCGACATTATACTTTTATAATTTTTCACTTTTTAAAATTATTTATAAATTATTATATTTAAAGTATTTTAAAGTCATATTAATCTTTGTTCTTTTTTGTAATTTCAGTTGCAAGGGTTTTATTTAATTAAATGATATTTTTATACTCATAATACTTCGGTGACATAGGGTAGGTACACATTTACTTTGATGACTTTTTATTATTAGTGATATCTATACTAACATTATAAAGAGGTAATTAATTTCTAATTTTGTTTGTTTATTGTGGGGAGTGATCTTCGGTAATATTGATCCTATCATAAAAATTATGTCACTTACGGTAAGCTCTACCGGACAACGATGACATAGGCTATAATCTACGCAGACGAAGTCGCGAGAAAACAACAAGTATCGAAATATAAACAAAATTGCTGAAATGATTTTAATAAAATTATGGAAGTATACTCTACTAAAAGTAAATTAAAATCGATTCATGAACCACGCAGCTGCATTGAGACTAGTCATGTGCCGGATCGTTAAAAATGTAAATCCGCGGATACGGATCCGAATACGGATATTTGGTGTCAAGATCCGCAGATACGGATACGGATCTTTATAATTAATATTTTTTCTAAGTTCCTCTTATTTTCACTGTGTTTGCTCGTGTAATCTAATGTTTACACTTTATATGGTAGGTAGTACCTACTAGGTACGCAGTATTAATTTACTTGATTAGAATAATTATTCAATTAGAATTTTTGTTTGGTTTTCTCATCATCTCATAATTATAAAAGTGATCTTTAATTTTAAAATAACTTTCTATTATATTGATCTCATTATAAATATATAAAAAATTTAAGTCTTGGTTTTCTCATTTTCTTATATTTATAAAAGTGATGTTATAACTTTCTGTAATATTGATCTTGTTATAAAGATAGTGTATTAGTACCTTTGAGTGATGTACTATTGGTATAGTAACTAACTACGATAAATGTTTGAAATATAAAGGTGCCAAATATTTGATTTTAAGAAATTAAAAATACTTAATTTCAATTAAATATTTTTTAAATCTACCTAATCACGTATAGGTATATAGCATTTCATCCTATTAATTTAAAAAGATCTGTAAAAGATCAGCGAGAAAAGTAACGGATACGGATACGGATCTTTTTTTCCATCGAATATCCGCGGATACGGATACGGATATCCGGAACATCACTAATTGAGACACAAACCCACGTTTTCGATGTTGGAATTGTTCCGTCAGTAACCGTAACAGACAGAGAGCACGTTATTGTTTCTCCGAAAACAATATTTCGATAATTTTCGAACCTGCCACTGCTTCTAATGCAAAAATAATCTTTACGGATATGATTTGGACAATATTTTAAGATACTAAGTTTTCCGAATTTATATTGTCAACAGAATAGGATCTCAGAACCTTTAATGCCAAAAAGTCTTCGGTTTTATGCAGCGATTTATTTATTGCCTTAGCTTAATATGTACAGGACTCATTGTCCTCCCACCGTTATTTCACCGAGAACACCGAGTTGCACAAAGGTCCAACAAGGTTTAATGATGACGGTAAGCCCTACTATGTAATCAAGTAAGTTAGTGTATTACTTAAGTAAACGTATCACCTCTTCAACGTATCGCTTTTGTGACTCTACGCATTTTCGATCGCTCGCATCATGCTGCATTTTTATATGGTTCTGTAGAGCTACTGCATTATAAAAATACTTTTTGCATTCTGTACATGTGAACTTTGCAGTTTGTTCTTCATCGAAGAATAAAACATTCTGAAATTTTTAACAATACATAATAAAAAGCCTTTTTTTCGATAAAAGACAGTAACTATTTTTAAAAATTAATCTGGATCGAGAATACCTTCATTGAGCTATCGTTTACCATGTTTCTACTAGATATTGTTTCTGAAAGACCGTCTTGGCAACCAGACGAAATCCCGTTAGGTTCAACCATCCTCATTCTTTAACAAAACGTTCATATAAATATAAAATGATCATCAAATATCTAAATTCTCACAAGAACGTAATCCAATATTAATGATCTCTTCAGCTTTCGTTTTGAATTATTATAAAAAACTATTTTAAATAGTGTTTAGGCAAATATTGATAAAATTTTATATTAATTAACTATTTTTAATGAAAAATTCTTTATACTCCAAGTTGGGACTTGAACCCATGACCATTTGTAATCCGGACAACTGCTCTTACCACTGAGCTGCCCAGGACCTAACAGGACTGACAAATTTTTCAAGCACTTGTTACATTTTTCTTTTTCTGAGCATTTTTCATTAATAATATTCTTCAGTATATCATTTTGAATGCAAAAATAGTAGTAGTAGTAGTTTCGTCCATGGGGAATGCAAATATAATCAAATATAATAAATGAAACTACTTATTTTTACTTATTATTGTAGATTAATAAAATTAGCTAAACAATAATATACCATAACCAGACGCAACCATATTATTGTTGGAAGCGATCGCCATCAAACTGATTCAACAACCACTATGTAAGTGCAACTTTATTAAATAAACTTTACCTGTTAGTTTACTTTTAGCTTATCAGAATATATTTGCACGCTGCTTTAATTTATAGCCTAGGTATTTATTTTAAAATTTCCGCCATTTTTTATCAGCAACACGATAGAGAAAATTGAGTAGTAAGTTTTTTTGGATTAGGCGAAGGAGCTTAGCCATACTGCCAAATCTTGAGTTTGAGCAACGCTGTTAGTTATTGTTCATTGTTATTTCACAAATAGTGCGTACAGACAGTGGAATTACCAACATTATAATAAACTTGTGTATTTTCAATTACAAACCTTATATCTATAAGGTCTCCAATGGCAATGAATAAGATTCGTTTGTTTTTGAAAACTCATATTATTGCGGTTTAAAACAACGTAAACTTTAGCTTTGTGGTAGCGTAACATTATAATACAACCACGAAGGCGCAAAGAAATTGAAAATATTTATCCCGTTATTAAAACATTAAACATAGGTCTTGTTAGAACGAGATAAACATATTTGCATAGCTTTACATGTTAACTGATAGACCTATAGAATACGACGCACGAAAAAATGTCTGAGTTCAATGACGTTTTATTATTTTCATTAGCAATTACTGTAGAGTAAATACAGTACTTGCTCATGAAATATTCTTTTTTTCTTTTCTCATTGTCAATGGTAATTTGTGCATTGTTTAAAAACATAATAAAAACACACTACATATAAAAAGTATGGCATTTTTTTATACAACCTTTCACAGAAAACGACGAGTGAAAATGACATTAGACACAACAATGTGAGTCTCAAAGACGGCCGAAGGCATAAGGCCTCACTTCAAAGTGCAGTCTTATTTTGATTTAGTTTGTTTGCGACGGCGCCAACGTTCGAACATAGTACCACAGTACAAATATATATTACGATGTCACAATGTGTATTAAAACTGAAAATATAACTATAGCAATAAAAATATATCTGTTGGAATATCATATTTATGGGTTGTAAATGTGATTTAACAATGTCTATAATTAATAATCAAAGTATTTTCAATACAATAACCGGGTTTTGTTTCTGACTCAAGCTACGCGCCAAAGTGGCAGTCATTCAAAAATGGAAAGCCAAATATTCGATGTTCGATGACGACGATGACGATGATGAAGACCGCACATAAGTGTACTATTACATATTTTTTTCAAAAATTCGGAAATGATTGTATTTGGTCCATTCGTTTTCTGCAAAATTCAACTTTTCCTAGAGTCGCCACCTAGTGGAAGTGTTTTTTTAGTGCTTTCATTTTTTTAAATACTTCCTCATTAATTTAAGTAATAATATAAATATGATAAGCATAAAAATATGATTATCACTAATATATATTTAAAAAAATATATTTATTTATTTTCGTTTACTATCTTCATGCGTATTGTTGTTTGAAAAATGAAGTTTCATCGACGTGTAATAAATAAGATAAATATTAACCAAATGTCGGTAAAACGGTACAGCTCGTTGACTCCATCTACTGAATTAAATGAATCAACTAAACTGTTTTAAAAACTAATATTATGGATATAGTATTCTGTGCATAGAGAATACATTAATACCTTCTGTGTAAGTTCGCGTTCCGAGTTCATGGCCAAAAGACCAAAATAATGTCGGTGGATGCAGATGAAAAATCGGTAATAATTGATGAATGACTATTAGGAAAACGGATTGTAAATTGATTATTTATTAAAATAAAATCAAATATTAAATTCGAATTCTACTTTTTTTAAATAATTCATTAAACGATTATTTCTATTATTATTTCACATCCCTACTTAAACGTCACCGTCCGTCACCGTCACGAAGTAAAAAATTCTGTTTTTGCGTGTATGTAATTTTGCTTTCTCGTTCATTTAACTCAAATTTTTAATGTTATTAATTCATTTGAACAGAATAAAAAGGGATTTTTATGAAATAAGAAGTGTGTAGAAGTTATTTTAAAAATCACAATATGGCTGGGTCAGCATTACGAAGACTGATGGCAGAGTACAAACGTAAGTAGCTATGAAGTTCTAACACAAGTAATACTTTTTCTTTATTCCAATCAATACTTTTGATTACAATAAATAAGGTTTGTTTAGGATTTCAGTATGATTACCAACAAAGTGTGCCAATGAAAATATATTAATATGAAGATTAAGTTCAATGGGTGCTTTCCTATTTTGCAGAACTGACAATAAATCCACCTGAAGGTATCATTGCTGGACCAGTTAACGAAGAAAACTTTTTTGAATGGGAAGCTTTAATAACGTAAGTGTTAATAATTTAATATAAACTTTTTTAAACAGAGTATTGCTTTATATTCATTTAATTGCCATTGCAAGTGCAAAGTTTGTTGAAATACCTACAAATTTTAATGATCATTATAGGGGTCCAGAGGGGACATGCTTTGAAGGTGGCATATTTCCGGCAAAACTTATATTTCCACCTGACTATCCACTAAGCCCACCGAAAATGCAGTTCATTTGTGAAATGTTTCATCCAAACAGTAAGTAATTGTAAAGTATTCCTATTAGACACATACAAAATTTTGTTTGGAGGAAAATTGAGTGCAGTTTTATGGATTACTCATCCATTTATTATGTTATTGACTTTTACCACTTTTTGAACTTACAGGGTTTTTTTTATATAAGAATACTATAAAAAATAAGACATAATAAACCACCTCTCCCTTAATAATGTTATATAATAAATTGACGATGTCTTACATATAATAATCACATTTTAAAATGAATTTATTTATTTATTTTTATATCTTTAATTTATTTTTATATTTTTAAATAAATTTCAAAAATAAGTCTGATAATCAATTTGAATTTAATAAACTAATTTCAGTCTATGCTGATGGCAGAGTCTGTATTTCTATTCTACATGCTCCAGGCGATGATCCAATGGGCTATGAGAGTAGTGCTGAAAGATGGTCACCTGTACAAAGTGTTGAGAAAATATTGCTATCTGTTGTTAGTATGTTGGCCGGTAAGAAGACATCTGATGCTCATCACACAGATCTTATTGTGTTTCTATGATATTACTAATGTTAGCCAATCTTATGTTATATACTGAGTGCTTGCTGCTATACCAATTCATTTATATACATATTCAGATATGTTTTTAAATTATTTTAGTCTACCCTTATATCAAACTATTTTTTATTATACTTACTTGGGTGTAAGTATAATAAAAAAAATAGTAACAAACATCCATTAAAATTAGTTTAGCCTTTAGTTTAAAGTAACATTACTGATACATTCATTAATGTTGCTTTAAACTAATGACCTTTTAATGGACATTGATCTTAAAGATTGTTGTGCAATTGAGTGTATCAGTTTGATATAGGCTATATGTCAACTCATTAAAAAAACCATTTAATATAGTAGTAAAAAATGCATGGAAGTGCAGAAATATTTTATTGAACATATCTTTTTCATAATTTTGTTGTTCATAACTTTTATTTTCATAACTTGTGTTCATATTTAAATTCATAACTTGCAGAACCAAATGATGAAAGTGGGGCTAATGTTGATGCAGCCAAAATGTGGAGGGAAGATCGTGAACAATTCAACAAGATAGCCGAACAACTAGTCAGGAAAACATTAGGTCTACCTCCTCCATAATAATGCGTTTGCCTGTGATCAAGAACAGTTTCCTTGTTGGTTATTTTAAATACAAATAATGTGCTAGATATTGTTGATAACTCAAAAATATATAAAAACTATAAAATATGTTTATCAAACTAGATCTCATAAAAATAGAAACAAGACAATACATAACTATGAAAGTATTTTTTTCAAAGTGGTAAAGCTAAGTACCCCTAAGATTAATTGTCTATTGTAGCAACTTAGGATTTTGTTTGCAAAATAATGTTATCAAATTAATAGACTGGTTTGGTTATTCATTAAAAATATTTAAATAAAAATATTTAGCTAACTTATAGAGTGCTATTGCTATCACATTATGTATGTTGTTATAATAATATATGGTTTAATAAGTGTTAATTTTTATATATAATAGTCTGTTTTAAGATAATATCGGAAATAATCAGGTTGTTTATATATTTGTGCTAAAATCTATACAGATATAAATATATACAACATAATCAAATCACACCATTAATTAGTTCATTATTTTTTCTGTAGATGCCATTCTGTTCAATTGTTATTGTTGCATTAATACAATAAAATGGTGCACCTACTTAGTATGATTATTAATCGTTTAACAGATACTACAAATCATAACATATATAAGGTGGAGTGAATTTATGTGCCAGGATTACAGGAGGTGCATGGGTCAGATGTTGATTTCCAGACCAGATTTTATATATTTTATTAATAATTAGAATACTGTGTTCAATATTATAAATTATATTTATATTCTTTTTTCTCTTTTGTTTATCTGAGATGTAGAAGAAAAAAGATCTAAAGAATTGTATATATGATATCCAATTTGTGCCTGGAGGTTGATGGCTGAGTTTGGTTGATATATACCCAGTTTATGTACCATATATTGAAGTGAACATGAAATTAACATTTATATGTCACATTTAAAAATAAATTCTTTGTATATATGTTCAACTAATTATTGAAAAATTACCCTCCATTACAATTTTAGTTGTACTAAAATTTCTGCTGTTTGATTTTCACATGTCAAGTTAAAATGGATTCTGTTCTTAAATAAGTGTAACAAATTTGTTATTGTAGCGAATAATTCTTTGAATTGATCATACAAAATAACTAAGATTCTGAGATTGTTTTTAGTATAGCCAACTTATTTGTAGTGACAGTATCTGCACTGCCTGTTAATACATTATATAAATTTGGTTAATACATTAAAGGTTGCGTTCTAAAAGGTTGTACATGTAGGCATGAAATTGTAATAAAATGGTTTGATATGATTTTGAATGAGCCTATAAATTTTTGAATACGGTTTGATATTTTTAGTTAAGATTTAAAATTATGACATATTTTCAATATATGCATTATATTTTCCAAACATATTATTTTAATGACTACCTCCCCTTTTGATAGGTCTCAACTTTAAATAGTAGTTGGAGCGGTCAGTTGGTGATTGGTGAAACAAGGGAGAAAGTTTCACCGAAATGTAATCTATTTAAAATATACTTTTAGTCCCACATCAGTGTGATTAATTAAGGTAAACTAAATAGGTCAAGGGTGAGGCAAGCATAATATTAAAAATTATTCAATAGAATAATATATATAATCCTTTAAACATTCCAAAATCAATGCTTTTACAAGGAAGGAACTGTTAAATCTAATGTTTGCTATGAAGTATTTTATTTAATTAATAAGTACCTATATTTTTTATCACGCGCGTGTTTTCTGTTCATGTGCTTGTCTTTTCGTCTTTATTATGTCAACTTATTTTTAGATTTTACCCTTATAACCTTCTCACGATCATTCAAAGGTAAGGGCGTGTCCAGGAGGTAGTCACAGGGGTCGAGCGCAGCCGACGATACGTATGATTTATTAAAGAAATGATAAAGCTCGGATTGGAAGTATAAAATACGAGTATAATAGCAAAACATAAAGACAGATACAAACAGGAATGACAGACACGTCAAGTAGGTACAAAACACTAAAGAGATCGAAAAACTACCAAGAAGTCTTCACTTCTTAACATCCCGTCTCGTTTTTCAAACCTATTTGTAAGCAAAGTTCTTTCAGTCTTGGCTTGAAAAGTGGTTTCGTCAGGAAATCTGCAAGCTGCTCATTTGCTTTCACTTTCAGCACCTTGAGGTTTCCCCGTGTCACGCACTCCCGAATGAAGAAATGCCGCAAACGAATGTGTTTAGTCCTCTGGTGACATTCGTAAGGTGGGTCGTGGGCCAAGCGGATAGCTGACTCGTTATCAAGATAAAGTTCTGATGAGACTTCTCCAGCTACCATGAACTTCATAATCTTTTTTAGCCATATCAGCTCTCTGGCCGCTTCACTGGCAGCAACTATCTCTGCCTCTGTGGAGGAAATCGCGACCGTCCTCTGTCTTTTGCTCTGCCAAGCTATGGCCCCTTTCGAGTAAAGGCAGACCATTCCAGACGTAGATTGTCCTGTAGTGGGATCTCCCCCATGATCTGCATCGCTGTAAGTTTGGATGCATTTTGACGCGGTGGAAGATTGGTATCTTATACCATTATTGACTGTCCCTTTAATGTAGCGAAAGATTCTCTTCACCTTGGCCACATCATCTGATTTTGGATTGTCTAAGGTTCTTGAGACAACACTTACAGCATACGATATGTCAGGTCGTGTCCCAATTGCTAAGTACGAAAGCGCACCAACTGCCTGTCTGTAGGGGAATGGTGCTGCTTCCTGCTCTTTTTCGGTTATTTGAATATCTTTAACTATAGGAGTTACTGCAGCCTTACAGTTTTGCATATCAAATCTCTCCAACAGACGTCTCGAGTATCCTTTTTGATCGATTTTGATAGATCCATCAGTTTCCCTCTTAATCTCAATACCCAAAAAATACGAGCCAGGTTGAGTGGTAATTTTAAAACAATGTCTTAACTCACTCAAAAACTTTTCCGTTTCATTTGGGTTTGCAGACGCTATCAATCCGTCGTCTACAAATAATGCAAGGATTATTTTCTTTTCTTCAATATCCTTATTTCTAATGAAGAGGCATGGATCACTGTCGCACTGCTTGAATCCTATCTTCAAGATATATTGTGTGATGCAGTGATTCCAGCACCGAGGTGCTTGTTTCAAACCATACAAGCTTTTTTTAAGCTTACACACTTTTCCTGTTCTATCATCATACCCTTCTGGAGGTTTCATATAAATTTCCTCATTCAAATTTCCGTAGAGGAAAGCCGTTGATACGTCAAATTGTGACAAAGTTAGTTTTTCCTGTGCAGCAACACTTATTAATGCCCTTACAGTGCTTAATTTTGCTACTGGGCTAAATGTCTCGTAGAAGTCTACTCCTTCCTTCTGAGTATAGCCCTTGACTACAAGGCGAGCCTTATATTTTTGTACTGTGCCATCCGGATTGGTTTTGATTTTATACACCCACTTGCAAGGAATCGCTTTCCTCCCTTTGGGTAAATCTACCAAATCCCATGTCTGGTTTTCTTTAAGAGAGTTAATCTCACTCTCCATAGCTACTCGCCATTTATCTGACTCGGCACTTTCAATTGCTTCTTTGAAATTTGTAGGTTCTGACAGAGGATCAACAGATGAAGATTGTACGTGACAAACATTGCAGACATAATCACGATATCGATTTGGCGGTCTGAGATTGCTGCGATTACGTAGTGTCATTCTGCCTTCATTCTCTACGTCGTTCACAGAGAGTTGAGCGTCATCAGCTTCGTCGTCTGTATCTTGAGCATCAATGGAGTGTCCTCTTATAGGCTCAGTAATCGACTCCTCTTCAGCTTCGTGATACTCCATCTCAGTTGTTCTACCGATTTGATTATCGCTATTGTTTTCGTCGTTCACTAAAACTTCTAACTGTTCTTCAATTTCAGGTTCGTCATAAGCTCTACTGTTAGCAATATCTTCACAAGTTCCATACTTAATTCCTAGAAACTCAAGATTTAAATCTTGTTGTGTTTGCTTGCAGTCATCTGGAAAAATTACAGATTTGTGCTCAGGCAGACATTTGGCCTCTGGTTTGTCCTCTTCCAAACATTCAACTTCTCTGAGCAAGGGGTATTCCTCGAATATAACATCTCGTGACCTTATCAATTTAAAATTGTCACTGTCCCAAATGCGATAACTTTCGTCACCGTCATATCCAATTAGGATCCCTTTCTGAGCCTTTTTGTCCAATTTTCGACGTTTTTCTTTTGCAATATGAGGATAACAGGTTGTTCCAATCACTCTTAAATGGCTTACTCTTGGCTTTTTGCCATGCCATGATTCATACGGCGATTTCCCGTTGTGACCCGGACCCGTTCTGTTCAAAATATATACAGATGTTAGAATCAGTTCCGCCCATAAGCTTGCTGGTAATTCCTCATGAGCGTACATCATGGCTCTTGCCATCTCCACAACTGTTCTATTTTCTCTTTCAGTGGGATTTTGTTGCGGTGTATAAGGCGTCGTAAATCTTTGTTTGATGCCTTTCTTCTCTAAAATAGTCCGAACTTTGCTATTATCAAACTCTCCTCCGTTGTCGCTTAAAATTTCTTTCACCTTCACACCAGCTGTTTCGACTTCAGCTAGCATTAGTGATAATTTTTGATAGACTTCTGACTTTTCATGCATTACATATACCCAACGGTATCCAGTATAGACATCCTTGAAAAGCACGAAATAACGATTCTTCGCAAAAGATACAGGGAAAGGTCCACAAACGTCTGTACAAATCAGTTCCCCAGGTCGAGTCGCCTTTTCTCTGGTTCCGAACTTCAAGCGATGAGACTTACCGTAAATACAGCCTTCACAAAGCTCGTGATTTGCTTCCGTTTTAATATTGAGCTCTTTCTCTAAAAATTTCTTGACGTGCGTTTTATTTTGATGGCCTAAACGTTCATGATACAGCTGAAGTAAATTTGGGGTAGTCAATTGGTTCACTATCATTGATGGCTTCAGGCATCTCATTTTTAAACAGTAGAGATCGCCCCCTTTCTCTCTAGTGCCAACAAGTCGTTTCTCACCATCGACTTTCATAACGCATGTTGTCGGAGTTGACTCAAAGGTACTATTATCTGAGTTGTCATGGGCAGCTAGCACAGAAAAGAGATTTCTGCTGATAGAAGGGACATACCAGACATTCTTCAATGTGATTTGTCGTAGTTCTCCTTCAACTTCGGCTTCTGCTCTAATTGTGCCGATCCCCAGGGCTTGGATCTCTTGGCCATTAGCTCCTGTCACTGTATGCTTACTTTTAAAAATGCTAAAATCTACGAAAAAATCGTCTCTATTTGTTACATGGTTGGTTGCCCCATTGTCCACGTAAAAATTAGTCGAGTCTTTCACAATTTTATCAGTTATGGCCAAGATAGTCATATTAACAGCTGATGTCTTGTTCTCTGACTTCTTCGGTTTGCCATCACTGATCCACTTCTTGCATTTTCTCACAAAGTGCCCTAGTTCTCCACAGTAATTGCATTTTCTCTTGTCTATCTTGCTTTTTGTATTCTTTTTGCCTGTTTTTACCAATAATGCTTCTCCACTACTGCCTTCACCGTAGTTATTTGCCTCTTCTTTTGCAAGGATCTTCTCGTGTGAGCATAACTGTATCGTCAGGTTTTCAATTGTGCGCTCATTCTTCGTCATCAGTAGCCAGCTTGATTTAAAGTTTAGGTATTCCGACGGTAGAGTGTCGAGAATCTTGTATATCAATAGAATATCAGGTAATTCCTTATCAAGATTCAGCGACTGATTGAACTGGTGCCAATAACTCTTTAAAGTCGAAATATGCGTCGCCATATCATGCTTGGCATCTCTTTTGTACGAAAAGAAAGTCTGGCACAGCTCGTAGCTCTGGTCAACAGTGCACCCTCCGAAAAGTCTGTGTAGCTCATCCCACATGTCCTTAGAATAGGTAAAGCGCATTATTTTCTCTAAAATGTCATCTGGTAAGTTAGACATTAACAGAATGGATATCATGCTGTCTAGTTTATCATACTCTTGTACTTCTTTCTGGTACTTCGCAGTATCTTCTGGTGTGGCACCTGGCAATAATATTGGCCTCGGTTTGATTCCTTCCAATATTTCCTTTGCACCCTGTAGCCCCTTTAGTACCATTAAAATTCTGAACTTCCACGTATTGAATTTCTTAGAGTCTAAGTTCCCAATTCGAACCTTGGAGACCTCTGCTATAGATTGGTCCATTTTGTTTGACATTTCTGCAGGCCAAGTTTTCACGAATTTTTTTTAAACAATTGGTTTAGCCACCAAAACAACTCTTAAAATTCTTGCCGACACTTTAATTTCTTCTGAAATTCTCTGCTACCATATTAAAGAAATGATAAAGCTCGGATTGGAAGTATAAAATACGAGTATAATAGCAAAACATAAAGACAGATACAAACAGGAATGACAGACACGTCAAGTAGGTACAAAACACTAAAGAGATCGAAAAACTACCAAGAAGTCTTCACTTCTTAACATGATTTAGTGACCGTGAGTATATTACCGTTCTCTATGACGGTATCTGCCTACGTTACGTTACTGCAACGCACTCTCAGAACACTTTTACTCCAAGGAGAACGCACTTGCTTGATCGATCATTCCCCCTACGTCAAAATTCGAAAATGAGCTTAACAATGAAAAAGTATTTTAAAATAAACTACAAATTTTATGTCACTAGATGGCAGCACAAATAGTAGGATCTAAATGTCAATGAAGAAGTATTTAAAAAATAAAAATTAGTTCTTAAAAGCAAACTAGATGTCACTAGCGATGTTTGGATCTTGTCTATGATATTCATACAATTTTGTTTCGTATCTAACTTTCAAATTTATTTTATTTTATTTGAATCATAAGTTTAAGTTACCATATTACGTGTAAACGAACGATGTTTGGTTTATATATCAACATTAGTGATGAGGCAACTTATTGGTTGCTCGTAATTTCTATGAGGAAGAATTTAAAAAAATAAAAGCATCTCCACTAGATGGCGACTCTAGCAAAAGTTGATTTTTGCAGGAAACGAATGGACCAAAGAAAATCCGTTCCTTTTAATTAACAAACTGAAATTTGAAAAGTTCGAAAGTTAGATATCAATACAAATAAAATATGAGTTGTTTATTGAGTTTTGAAAACTAATTTACTTTTAAGCATGAAAGCAAACCGGAAGGGTTGTCATGGAGAAATCAAAAACGTACCGTGGCGACCTCTAGTTTGATTTCGGGAACTAAGTTTTTTTTAAACTTTCTCATTGAATCGATATCGCAGTCTATGAGTACGTACATGCAATTAGATATAGAGCAGATTAGTGACCGATATTGTTAGATTGAACAATCTTACGAGTATACAATTATTTGCGATTCTTCATACATATTGAAAGGGCGCGCTTATAAAAAAATTTAACAAGATTATTGTGCACGACGATCGCCAAAGCCAAAGTAGATAAAAAACTGAACTATAATATTTTCATATTACGGTGTATAGTGCCACTTAATTAAAATGATATTGTCATTCTTTTGGAAAGAGACAGATAGCCTCTGTACTTAATATCTCGTTCGACTTGTTTTTCAGCTGGGAGTACTCTATCCTGTTATAAGTACCAAGTCCATGGTATCAACACGTATCAATGAGAATACACATACCTATATACACGCAACACTATTTTTATAGTAGTTTTTTTATATGCTCCTTGGTAATCTTGGTATAACCTTTTTGTAGTAGATTTGTGGTGGAGAGATTTCTACTGTGGATTTCTACATCGCGGTCGACGATTGGGAATATCTCGTGGTCCCCGATTAAATTTTCATTCTAGTTAGACTTTCCTTATATCTAATTAATTACGAATAATAACATATTAAATTGTGGTTTTGGTTTTAATATTACAGTTCAATGCAACATATGTGTATACCTTTCAGTAACCGAGTTATTTATTATGACTTGCACTGCGCAATTGGTTAGATTGTTTTTAATATTGTAAGACAATAATATTGATAAAAAATATAATGGCTACATCAAGTGCCGACGCACAAGACAGGCTCAAACTATACAAATTTACCAAAATATTAACTTTGAAAGTAGCTCAAATAGTAGTACAGAGCAGGCAAGGAAAAAAGATAACTCAGGATTGTAACAACACAAAGGCATTAGTTCATAATCTATCTTCATCGCCACCTAATTTACAATGGGTAAGTAGTAACTGATATAGGTACTTATTAAGAGCATTATTTTGTTGAAAGCTATGTAATGCCATGTTATGAAAAGAGTAAGCTAAATTTGTACAAGAGAAAGTAACCCAAAGTAAATTGCATTTAAAATTTTTACAATGAGTCGGTATTTTTCATAAATTATCAACATATTCATTAATTATGTTGCCTTTTTACTTGATTTTTTTTATTCTATAGTTTAACTTATCTATTCCGGATGAGCCTGAAGTCACATGTGATACAAAAAAAGTTCTTAACGGAGAAGTTGTTGATGCTTTAGCCAAAGTACTGTGTATTGAAATATCATTGCGGACCAATGATGGTGACAGAATGGTACTCGAAATATGGACAGTTAGAATTGTGCCTGGTGGTGATCCAAGCATGAATTCCATATCAACAATATATTACCGAATGAGTATTATGTTGAAATCAACATTGAGCATATCAAGAATCACACCAGCCTACAAAATGTCAAGATCACAACATAAAGAAACATTTACTATTTCACATAAAATTTATGGTGGCGAACCAAATTTAGATTTACTAGGTAAGTTTGTTGTGATTATATATATTTAAATATCATATTTTTTAAAATAACTAATTATATTTAAATAACATTTAAATATTGAAATTTTGTGTTAAATATGTGCTTGACTGTAATTTATCTTCTTCTTCTTGTAAGAACAGAAACAGAATATTTATCATGATAGGACCTTTCTAAATAAATAATTATTAATATTTCACTGACCAAATTAAAAACAATGAGTTAATTCTACTTATGAATTATTTGACATAAAGTTTGAGAATAAGAAAGTTTCCAGAACTAAAACAGGGTGTCCACTTTCTAGAAAACAGTGAAAGTCAGGAAAAAAATGTTCAGTGTGAAGCCTGGGAAAAGATATATGATCTTTGTAAATTTTTTATTACAATCATTTTAAATCTCATAATTGAATATAAATTTTTGTTTGTGTTAGTATTTTTTACTGATAATTATACTAACTTTGTGTGTCTGACTTTTTTAATACAGAGTCTTAACTATTATGTGATATTGTGTGTGATATTTAAGTACCAACTTCATCAAACTTTGTCAGCTACATATTTCTTTTCAATGGAATGTTAGTCTTACAATTGTTTTAAATTTTCTTCAACAACATTGCTTCTTATAACTAAACCTATTCAAGGTGGAATTTCATGCCAGTTGAATACAAGCATATTGAATATCAGTGTCATGTTTGAAAAATTGAAAAATCTTAATTGAGGATAACTTATGCTCTGTTTGCACAAATACAAAACCCTGAAAACTTTTAATATGAGTTACAGAACCTCTTCAAAACCTTTAAGAACAGTATTGCTATGGATGATCTAAACAACATGGTCTGACACTCTTCACATGTTTGGTTCTAAAGTATTTAGAATACCAAACTCAATAGATGTTTAAAAGCATTTAAAATAGCATATTCAAATGCTTAATATGAGACCTTCACCAATTTAATATGGAATCAACAAAAGAGGCTATTGAGCGAAATAAAGGCTTCTCAAAAATCAAATTGTCTGTTAAACAAATCTGACGAATGGTAGCATCGTTTCGTCGAAAGTTATGATGTTGCAGGAGATTGAGAGTGGACAGTTACACTTCACCCAAACACCTGCTTAAAGCAGGGCTAAAGAGCCAAGTATATAAGCTATAGTGTCAATACCAAAGATATCCCGGATGTCAGTCTACATGAGATTAGAATGGCAAACAATCTGTTTGCCAAGCCTTGCCGCCCCCTCAGTACAAGCGCCCTAGGTAACCTAATTTGTTTATGGAAGGGCCAGACCTGCAGGTACATCAAGGTGCTAGTATATATACAAGATTGTCACTTTGTCGGCTCGATTACAGAAACAATGAAATTCCATCCAATTGTAGCAAGGTGTGATACAGGCAGATGTTATTTCGACAAAACTTCACCGCTGTGTTGGAGGATATTAAAAAGCTTTTGAACTGAAAAGGACAGTGCATCAATACAAGACTTCAACAGTGTGTGTTGCCAAAATGACTTACGCAGGCGAAACGTGATCCTTCACTATGTTCTCATTAGATGACTCGAGGTCACAATGTTATGCTAAGTGTTTCTCTATGTGCACATATTAGGAATGAAGAGATCCATAGGAAGTTGGTTACGTTACTGACATTGCACTAAGAATTTTTCAAATTGGCAGTGAGACAAATAGCTAGAAGAATTGATGGCTGTTGGGACGGAAAGGTTTTAGAAAGGGTTCGGAGCGCGTGTCAGATGATGCTCAATGGGTAGTCCCATCGCCAGGTGGTTGCGGGAAGCCATTGGATGTGGACATCGAAACCGATCAGCATAGAGATCTATGGAGGCCTTAGCTCAGCAGTGGGTGTCGTACGGTTGTTGATGATAATGATGATGCCTGTTGAACAAAGAAGAAACTCTTTTTTTGGATTTTTAAGTTTGTTAAAAAAATGTCTGAATACATTCGCATTGGTTTTGTAGCGAAACTACTAAAAGAAGCAAAGGATAACTAAATGTGGTTTGATGAATCGAAACAGAAATTGGAAGTTATCTTTTTAGGAAATTAACTGAATGATAAGATGTATAAGAGATCATGTGTTCATGCGTGCGTACGTGTGTATTTGTCGGTAGTAGCTGATATTCTTCAGTTAATATATAAAACATTTTACTTTTGAAATGTGTTAATTTCAAAAGACAAAGTCAGGGATTATTTAGACATTTAGAGTGGACACCCTGTAAAAGACTTGAAGTGTCATAAGAATATTTAATACTAATTTTGGTTTTAAAAATTCACACAAAGTTGCAGATATTAAAAATCATTATATGTTTTAAAAAAAGCATTACCAATACAGATTCTCATATTTATTGTGTAAATTCATTAGAGCTTAATGTAGTCATTTGATTGTTCATGCAATTTAATTTCAATGTGATAAGAAACTTGCTTGCTTTAAGCTGTTTTACAGAAAACCAATTGATTTATTATCTAAAATTGACTAATGTTTACTATTAATTAAAGGTGAGAAGCATAAAACCATAAAAGTGAGTGATCTCAGAACTTCAATTGGTACAATTATCATTGATGTTACTTATAGAACAAAAATGACCATTCTTCCCGAGGATAAAATTAAACCCCTGGATGGGGTAAGTTCGTCTACAGTAAGCGATATAATGGTTAAGAGTGACCATTTTTATGAAAGTCCAAAGTAAGTGCACTTACTAGATTGTTATTCAATATTACTATTTTAATGTTATTATAAATACACTTACTATTGTCAATATCAATCACTACATGTGATCTTTCTTATGTTTTTTATATTGTTACAATTAGTTTTAAGTTTTATGGAATCACTTCATTATTTACATAATTATATTTAAAATAATATTAAGATTAGCATCATTATTATTTCAGAAAAAATTATGATAAAAAAGAAATTGACCTGTCAAAACCACTAACAGCAGGAGCTTTTGTAGATACTGTTAAAATACAAGAACTGCATGATGCATTAAGTCAACAAATACCACCAGAACCACCAATGTCATGGCTTTTAGCTGAGAAAGACAAATTAGATAAAGTAAGCATATTTATTACAGAAACAATGATTGAAATGTTATAAGGAACATTATTATTTTTCTAAACTTAGCATTATATATTAAATAGAGTTTGATATGTGTTTTAGAAATTGAAAGGTCTGCCCAAGAGGACTGAGGAATTTGCAAAGTCGGGTCTAAGTAGTGATACAGCTGGCACATCTCGCGTCATAAGCAAAGCTATAGAAGTGCCTAAAGCCAATGGTGATAAATACACTAGTCTTATGGTAAATATATCTTTCATTTTACTAACCATACAGCAAAGTATAGTAGTAGTAAAGTGCAGTAATATTGTAAGCGTCTGTCCGCGTCGTACCGTGAACGTCCACGATTAATATAGTACAGTTAAATTTAATAAGACAAAAGAGTCTAAGATAAGACAAAATCAAACAGATAGAGTTCCCCTCCTCTCCTCTTGAGATTAAGTAATCAATTTACTTGTGTTTTATTTTTTGACGAATAATGGAATCTCTATCAAGTTCATAACTTTAACTTTTTATGAAGGTACTGGTCTAGTGAATAGAAAAAATCCTTTATTTGCTTCATAATATCGCACACATGTACATACGTTATATTTCATTAAATCTACACAGTTCAATTAAAAATATAAAGGTATGTAATGATATTTTCTAATAAAATATAAATAAAAATAGAAGCATTATTTCTACACATTAACGTAGCAATGAATTATGTACAGGAAAACCTAAATTAACGGTTCTTTTGATGGTACATTGCGATTATTTCAACAACTATATTTGTTTCGTTTCAGGAATTCCCTTTCGCCGATGGCAGTCCTTTAACAGAGCTGGCTACCTTCTACCAGGAATGTTTGCAAGCTAAATCCACAAGTGACGAATGGACTGAACTTATTGGTGAGTCTGTTTCCACCGATTCAGAGTCTCTCTCCCAACAGCTCAAAATGTTTGAAGAAGCTGTACCAGAGTTTGACAATATGGTCGCCTCTATGTTCAGCAATTCCGACTGCTCGGACCACTCCTAGTTTTGTAGTGTTCACTATGGCTCTAGATTAAACACTTAATATTCCAAAAGGTTTACGTACATTCGGTTTTTATAGATGTTTTGGAATCGATTTAATTAAATAACAATTAAAATTATTTTTTGCTGTTCTATTTCATTCAGTTTATGCGATGTAAATGTAAAGATTTGTCACAGAAATCACAAAATGGTTGTGAAAACTTCTTTGTCTGGAAATTTATTCTTTTGTGTCTTATATCGGTAACACAATGTGAAATAAATTATGTACACAAAAATATCCTTGAACACTTTTACTGTAATGTAAAAAAAATTGTCATAACTAAAATAATTTTATTTTTGTACCTATTCTAATAACGAAGTCTGATTGACCATCATAGATGGATTAGTGACTTAAGACATTCTAAATGCGTAATGTAAATTTATTTTCTAAAAAACCTTAAACTGAATTTTTTGTTGCTTTGTAAGAGTACTAGGCTATTTTTTTAGCGCGTTTAGCATTGTGCCTTGCAACCCTTTCATGCTATGGCGCGAATTAGAAGAGCGGCAGTATATGTATGAGTGCTTTTATATAAAGCGCTCTCACATATATAATTATTGTAGCGCTATAAAATGATTACATTTTAAACATATATATTCTGCTTAAAAGAGTGACAATGATAATAGTGATTTTCCTTCTATCACAACTCTAAAATCTTTCCAGTGTTTATAACATCAGTCGATATTGATTCTTGTTTTTATAAGTCTTAAAAAGATAGTTTTAAATTAAACAATGCTTTCTTTTATTTTATTTATAAACTGATTTATTGTTATAGAACATAATTATATTTAAGCATTACTAGGTTTTTAGAAAATTATAATAGGTGTTCAAAAATATATTTGTAACGTACATGGGTCACAGTGAAAGTTTTTGGAGAATAGTAAACTGAAAAAATACGAAGTAGTCTCCGCTCCTTTCTATGCACAGTGGCATGCGATAGAATCATTGACTGAAGCAGATGAGCCACTCTCCTTGTAAATATTTCGAAGATCTATTTTTTTAAAGTTATCCACGGCATCTTTATGAGTCTTCGAGACTTCAGCGACTTTAAAGCAGTGCTCGTTGTTTAGCACCAATTCAAACGACAGTTATAGATCTTTATTTAAATCTGCAAGGAAAGCTTCGTGCACAACCACATCGGCTATTGATCTTCCGTCAATGATTAGTACTAAGTTTTCTGACGCCTAACCGTTGAGCTACACCTGGCATCACGTTATTGCCTTTTTCCACCTTTTTTCATCTGTCGCTTAGAACCGCCATTTGCTAAAACGAGAAAAATAACGTGTGTGCGTTAAAGGCGTATACCATTATTAACCTCTTTGTTAAGTAGTAATAATGACCAACTTTTGCCACTGTTATCAGTTTAGTAATTATGGATTTCCAGAGTGGGTGTAGTATATTTTTTAGCGGCTTCTTATCTTACTGGTCTATTCAAAAACCTTTCAGTGTGACCCCCATGATCAGTTATTGAAATGGACGACACGTGTAAGATAAATATAAATGCATTTCATTGTAACAAAATGTTTCTGTGCCATAAAAGTTGTATTGGTTCTTTAAAACCTAGAGACTTTCATTTCACAGCATCAGAAGTTATAGTTATTTTACGTACGAATATGTATTATCATTAATATCAGAGTAATGCATGTAAAATAAATGCTATGTTTGCAAATGCAATTCTAAACAATCGGTCATTAGTGTCAAACAGTGATATTAATAATCAAGGCTTAGCATCGGAGTTAATTTATGCTAAAATTGCAGTTTTAGTATTGGTCCAAACTCATATTATACGAAGAGTAAGCAGACATTCTAGGAGTAAATATTACTCCCGTAGATCTTCGTACTATGTTATTAACCTTTGCTAAATCTCTGTTCAATAATATGAATTTTGAATAATACTAAGTGTAGTCTCACTTTTAGAGACTAGATACGCTTCTGAGAGTCCTTTAAAAGGTTTTATTTTTAATTTTTTTCATTGTAGTATTGCATTCTGAAGCATATTCATTTGCCCTTAAGCGACCATCAGAAAGTCTCATCTATTATCAGTGAGTAAGATTGGCGGTTTGGTAGTACATTTATACAACTATACTTCAATGTGTCTAATACAATACAATACAAACCTCAGAATAAAACACTCACTTCAAAAATGACACCCTCATACCAATTTGTCAACTTTTATGTTAACCCTTATATGGGTTGAATTTCAAAACACCTTTGTATAAAAAAATGAACTTACAGTTAATGGACCCATGTGCCAAATAAAAAATTCCTATACCCATCGGGCTGTGTATTGATTGTCAGTCAACTTCCAATTTTATTTGTAAAAATAGATTTTAAATAATTTTAAAATAGATTTGAATTACATCTCTGCTTGAAAGAATATAATTGCCTATAAAAGGCAGAACCTAGTTATTTGTAGACGGCCACCGTTGCCGGCTCAAAGCGTCATATCAATCTAACCCTGGAGATTTCCGGAAGATCGTTGATTCAGATTTCCTATACAAATACTAATAGCAAGTAAATTTAGGATCTAAGCTATATGATGTCGTCTAATATTTATTTTCTATCCAAAAATATTCTTATATTTTTCTGTGCCTACACTACCTACACTTAGTGTGTGCTACTCTAGTGTGTATGTACAATTACAATTCGACAACGTAAGTGGTGGAGCTACGGAAAACAACGCTTATAAGTATATAATTTGTCACTTATCACTTGTCAATAAGTTCACGTCAATAACAACGACGAAATTAAAGTCCAAATATCATAAAATCTTTGCTACCATTCCCTACTATCAACAAATTGCCTAGATTTTGACTCCTATAATACCTAGCTAAATAAAATACAATATACAAACAGTTATTTTTAAATAATAGTCATACTATAGCATACAGTTTAAGAGATTTATTATTTAATATTAAAATAGTAAATTAGATTGGACTGCAAAGGATTGATGACTGATCTTAGTTTAATAACTGTACATAAATAAAATCGCCAAGCGGACTATTGTATAATTAAAATTTCTTAATTTTGTATTTCATAGGCATACACAAGTTAGTAGAATAGATAGGGAAGTATCTGTGTATTAAAAATAAATTAGCTGGATGTCCAATTTTGGAAAACCTAAAAATATGATTTTATTTATAGCCCAGCTCATTGGTAATAAAGCCCTATTCTATTTACAAAATTTCGTTTTCGCAATAATGGAAAAGTAGTTTTTCCGCAGTACATTTTATTTGTCTGACTCTAGAGAATATGTTTATCAAACGTTCTATATGATACTTTTATATATACTAATGATAGTAAATATGTATGTCTCTGTAGCACAACTTTTTATACGGATTTAGTATAGATAGGAATTAATACAATGATATTTATTTCTCGATCAATGGAATATAATTACGAGACTCTTGTACATTTTTTTATAAGTGTGTGTGTCGTCATTTATATTTAATACCAATGGTATACTTATAATTATGTTAATTAATTTATACAATTTCCACAAAAAGTGCCAAGTATTTGTGTAGATTAGGTACTTTATATTTTGGTTAAATACTCCTGCTAAGCATTGTGTTTAATTTAATTTATATTACTTAGTAATTTGTTGTGTAATTAGTACTTACGGTGATAAATATGGATCATATTGTTTTATATAAGAATCCTGTGCGTATATACCATTGGGTCATTATAATAGGCCAAATTTGATATCTATCTGTCTAAACTTCAAATTAACCTTGTATGCGCCCACATATTATAATTATTTTTCTTTCAAAGTTAAAAACTGAACCACATTTCCTTTAATTATTCAAATATATTAATGACATAATAGAAAATACGACAATTTAATGTTTTAATTTAATTATTAAACCTTTCTAAATGTAGTGAATCAATTTCATACTGTATATACTAAACGCCGCTACAAAGTTAGCCTCTTAACCCGTTGTCTTTTTAAACTTTTTTTTTTAAACTTTTTTTTTAAACTTTTTTTATTGATAATAGGCTAACTCTTGATCTCAATACATCCTGGGACGTGAATGAGATCTAGGGTGGAAAGAGGTTACTCAGCCTATTCTCTGAAATCGATTTGTAAAATTACTTATGAAAGGTTAACGCGATTAAAACGAAAATTATTTACAAAATATATAAGACTGTATAGAATATAGTACTTAATGCAAAAGTGATCAAATAGAAAAATATTTAGAAATAATGAAATACCGAGAATTTAAATTTTGGTTACTCATCTTGGTGGTCACCATTGGGAATAGTAATGGCATGTCGATGAGCTAGCCACTTGCACCAACGAAATCTTTAAAAATCTCAAATCCAATTGACTCTGCGTTCAAAGCTCCTGGTTATAATTAAGAGGACGCTTACACCAAAGTTCACTTTCGATTGGTTTTGTACTAAGAAATAACGTCCAAATTAGCTGTAATAATATTTTGAAGCGACGATTTGCCTTCTAACAACACAGCGCGATTTTTCGACTGCTTCTCACTAAACGGCCACTACAATTCACATTAACAAAACGAGACATCATTTAATAGTCAATGTCGAGAAGTAAAATATTGAAAATAATTGAGATCATATTTGCGCAAGAACTGCATTCGATTCTCATTTGTTAGAAAACCATATCGATTCATTATATTAATCGAATAATTTAAGCAGGTCACCTCTTTATCAATTTCAGAATGATAGATGTCAAATATGGCTTCTTAAAATGACCCAACTGTAATATGTTCAATAATGTCTTTGTTTCTATTATTTTAATCTTAAATATTTGTCCATGCTTTCGTTTTAAGTTTTATACTGACCTATGATTTCTTGTAAACGTTCGTTTATATCTACAGACATGTGCCGGCACAGACAAAATAATGGTATTATATGTATATCTTACACACAGCACATATACCAACAATATGTTCCTGCCTAGTACACGTCTAACATACAGTCTGTAGCTAAATACCGGGCAAGTGTCTACGACAGCACGTGTCTGGCGCGTTCAATGTCTGTAGATAAAGGATTCTTTATGATTTTATGTCTCCACATTTAT